TTTATTATTTTGAATTTACAGTTTTTGAATTCTTTTCTGTACCATTCAATCTTTTTCAATCTTTTTTTTTTTTTAAGCAGAAGACGGCATACTAGATTCAAGTGTGACTGGAGTTCAGACGTGTGCTCTTCCGATCTAATAATGACTGAACTCTTTTTGTTTTTTTTTCACGGAATCACTCTCGCAAATCATCTTAAAGGTTTCTCGATACATACACTCTACAAGCACAAAGCAATCTTTCGTGAGTAAAGATTCAATGTTCAGCGCTACCATTAGTGAAGCTGCATCCGCAGTATCGCGACTCCTACAAATTAAATATGTTAGCATCTACAAGGAACACGTTCAAAATATGATTCAGGCCTGCATACTCTTCACATCGAGTGGCGTCACACAACACAGCACATCTTTTGGCGCGATCGGCCCCGGCTCGGTAAAGATCTTTACGGCGTAATGGGGAACCTTGTACAAAGTGAACATTTCCAAATTTCACCAGCAAATTTTTTTCATAGTCCGGGGGCGAGCAATTCGTCAATATGACCACCGGCATGTCGCGGCACGCCGAATTCTTCTCTCGAAGCACTGCCACAAAGACATCCAAGTTCAGTGGAAATGTGTTAGCACAGTTACATACCAAAACGTGATTTTTGATGTTTTGGATAACAGAATCGAGCGGCTTATCGAGACAGGCCTTTGCCTTCTTGACGTTTGCAAGTGAAACTTCAGATCCTGGTGTTAGTGTAGCGGGAAGAATTCTTGTACGTTCCGTGCATTCCGGCATGTCAGCTTGAGTAAAATATGAAGTTTGAGATCTTCCGTTACTTTCGATGCGACTATCAATAATTTTGCGATCTGAATCGTTTCCATTCAAATCGAAAAAACTTTCGATGCGTTTAATTAACCCTTGTGGACCAGAGGTTTCACGATTAAATCTATCCATCCTATCGGATATCTCGGCATTATCAGAAATCACAAATCCGATTTCGTCTCCCTTGAGCACATAATCTTGAGGATTTAGAATGATTTGAAACGAGGCGGTGCCATTTGCCAAAGTTCTGCGCACCCCGATGGAGAAAAGAACCGCATTGAAATGAGTATAAATGAGCTCCGAACATTTCAGGAAAGTTTTCCCGGCAAATGCAACCGGAAAACGGACTTCGTATATTTCTTGCTGTAGACCGGAAATGTATTCGATTGTCCAGTCGAGTTCTAAACCAAAGAGATTAATAAACACCTGTGTTATCTTACGAGATACAAATAGGCGCAAATAAATACCCGCGTTTCCGTTGTTTTCTCTCGCATTTTTGACCAATTCCTCCGCGACTTTATCGGTCACTGAAGTGGTGAGCAGTACAACGAGAGAAGAGAACCCCGGAGTAACCAAATTTTGAGCCATAAGACCCATGGTCAATTCGTTTATGCATATCACACCCTCGGCTATAATTCGGCAAGTTGATTGTTAGACTCATGTTCAGA